TAATAATAATAATAATAATAATAATAATAATAATAATAATAATAATAATAATAATAATAATAATAATAATAATAATAATAAAAAAGTTGGAAGGGACCTTGGAGGTCATCTAGTCCAACCCCCTGCTCAGGCAGGAAACCCTATACCATTTCAGACAAATGGCTGTCCAGTCTCTTCTTAAAAACTTCCAGTGTTGGAGTATTCACCACTTCTGGAGGCAGGTTGTTCCACTGGTTAATTGTTCTAACTGTCAGGAAGTTTCTCCTTAGTTCTAGGTTTTATGATCATTTCATGTCATAGAATGGTTTTATTTAATTTGCCAAATTTCAGTTTTACTGGAGTCCTCTGAGTTCTAGATTTTGGACACATTCTGTAAGTTAGCCTGTCTAAGGTACCTTGAGTCAAAAAGTTTTTCCTATGGTGCACTGTTTTGCCCAGTTAAAGGTTATATGAATCAAGTTTTAGTAGTGTATAGACAACCACCTAGCTCAGGGATAGGCAACCTTGGCTCTTTTATGACTCGTGGACTTCAACTCCCAGAATTCCTGAGCCAGCCCTGACCTAGCTTATAGCACAGAGGAATATTTACTATTTGAGCAATTTGGCTTAACCTGCAAATGGTTTAAAATTGACTTTTAACATTTTTGTCTTTAGTCTGATGAAAAACATCATCCAGAGGGAGAACTTGTCTGGTTGAAAGGGAAGGATAAGGATGGAAGTAAGAAATAAAGATAACATAGAAAGTTAATCATACCAATGCCACCAAACGGTAGGGTAATCAATGATGCGTGCAACAGGGTATCATTACCACAAAAGCCACCACTGGTAGTAGAATCCAGTACCCTGTTCACAACCTATCAAGAGAAAAAGAATAGAAGCGTATTAAGAGTCCTGTTTTTAATCTTCCAAACGTGAATTTGATCAAGTCCCAGCTCTTTAATAATAAGGGACACGATACAAACAAGGGTCTTTAGCTTTTGTGCCACTACAAATATTTGGAATGTTGAAAATGTGCCACAGACACACTCACAAAATGGCTGATGTTGTAGATGTAGTCCAGGGGTCTTCAGACTTGGCCCTTTTATGACTTGTGGACTTCAACTCCCAGAATTCCTCAGCCAGCGTGCCTGGCTGAGGAATTCTGGGAGTTGAAGTCCACAAGTCATAAAAGGGCCAAGTTTGAAGACCCCTGATGTAGTCAATTAGCCATTTCCTAAAAGTCAATTGGAAGGCAAAAATAAAGAAATAAAGATTCTCTATGAATCTTAGTAAAACAGTCGAGAGATCGAAAATGCAAATGGCCCTTTTAGACTCGCCCACCCTGTTTTCTATTCCCATGCTCTTTTCATACAGAGCCAAGAGTGATGAATAGAAATAAAAATGACAAGTTCAGTTAATGTAATCCATGCTCTGTCTCAAGCAAGGGCTTTGCAGAGTACAGGTAGTCCTCGAATACAACCATTCATTTAGTGACCGTTCAAAGTTACAATGGCACTGAAAAAAGGGACATGACTGTTTTTCACACTTAAAAACTGTTGCAGCGTCCCCATGGTTATGTATCAAAATTTGGGCAAGTGGCATGGGTTATGACAGTTGCACTGTCCCAAAGTCATGTGATTACCACTTGTCTTCCCAGTTGGCTTCCAACAAGCAAAGTCAATGGGGGGAAGCCAGATCCACTTAATGAATGCATGATTCACTTAACAATCTGTGATTTGCTTAACAACTGTGACAAGGTTGTAAAATGGGGGCAAAACTAACTTAAAACTGCCTTGCTTAGCAATGGAAATTTTGGGCTCTATTGCAGGCATAAGTCGAGCAGTACCTGTATACTCAGGAATTTGTCTCAACTTCTCTTTTCCCAGGTAAAGGGAAAAGTTGTTGTTTTAAAATGCAAAGGCAGAATTCTGAGTTACAGAGCAATAAATGTTGATACCTGAATTTGGGGGGGAAATGGAGGATGCCATCTCCCCACCAGCTCTGATAAATAGCTGAAATTACCTTCAAGAATTTAGGAGAGGTCCAGGGACAGAGGACTTTGCTTCAGGATTCAGATTATTAGGAATGGGTAACTGCTATGATTAGAGATTGTGCTAACTTTTAATTTCTTTTTTCTCTCTTTATTAGAAAATGTGTTCTTTCTTATTCCTATTTCTCTGGAAAGTTAAGGCATTCTGTATAATTTGAGAATAAGTTGAATATTTATTTTTCTCTTTGCCAATTCCTTGGGAATACAGAACTTGAAAACTGTCTTTCCCCCAAACTTACTAATTAAATAGACAACCACAATCTTAATCTGTCAAGAGCATGGTGTGCATTTTGTAAATTGGATGATATATATTCTAGCATTTTGAAAAATAAAGTTTGATTGCGAAATTGATCTGTCTCCAAAAGAAGAAGAATAGACTGAAATAATTAGTCACATAACTTTATGCTACAAGGACAGGATAATTATAGAAATTATTTAATTTTTCCCCACTATTTATTTGCCCAAAGGACAATACATATAGTAGGAGCCTCTCTCTTTCCCAGACCAAGGATGGAGTGAAGCTCCTTGGAAAATAGTAAGGACACAGGTAATTATCAATCCTGGAAGGAATGGCAGAGTGTATAAATCTAGCAGGCTTCTAGGAGAGAACATTTGAAATGGGAGGAAGGTATTTTTTGTATATGACATGTCTCTCCACAATCTATAACATATACAACACCTCAAAAACAAGCCCAGTAATAAAGCTGCCCTCACACAGTATAACCACTATGTTCTCCTGAACATGTGGTGGGTGTAGTCAGTGTTCAAACTCTCACTTTATTATTTGCTTAATTTTGTTCTCCTTGGCTACTGGATTTTCAGTATAGCTACATGGTTGTATTTTAATTTAGCCACATCTCTTCTTCTGGGAGTTGGAAATCACATAAAATATTTAGAAAAGTTCTAGTCAGAAGTAAAGTGACCTCTCAATCATTCTAAGTATCAAACGTTTTTAAAAATCACATGATTTAAAAGAAGAGAAGTGACATAGTGAAAGTAAGCACTTGTGCACAGTGCAGGGAAGAGGCTGCCATGCAAGTTGTACAAAGCCTTGATTTTTGGGTGCCAATGGGAATATTGAGCTAGAAAACCCACATTTGATCTTCTACAAGATGAATATTCCCAAGTTCAAACTCAGAACAAAAATATAATAGGTTGCACATCCATAGCATAAATGAGCATCAAGGCACAGAAGTCAGCAGTTACACAGGAAAGGGACATCTGAGCCAACTGGAATCCAGGAGAGTGCCAACGTCCAGAGGGTTCCAGGTGCCCCAGAATGTCTGCATAGAACAGTGGTTCTCAACCTTTTTAATGCCGTGACCCCAACCGGTCGTAAGTCGAGGACTAAACCGGTCGTAAGTCGAGGACTAAACCGGTCGTAAGTCGAGGACTAAACCGGTCATAAGTCGAGGTCTAGACCGGTCGTAAGTCGAGGACTACCCAACCGGTCGTAAGTCGAGGACTTTCCCTGCCCGGGAGCACCGCACATGCGTGGTTCCGCCCCCTGCGCCGGCCGAGGCGTAGCTGGCAAGCGGCAGAGATGGAGCAGGCCGACCACCAGCTGGCCCAGCCCAAGGGAGGTAAGGCACCCGCCGGAAAAGGGGGGAAAAATGGCGGACAAAAAAAATGGTGGACAAAAAAAATGGCGGACAGCCTTGCTTGGCGACCCCCGTGAAATGGTCGATCGACCCCAAATGGGGTCCCGACCCACAGGTTGAGAACCACTGGCATAGAAGCTCTTGTGGCACAATAGAAGGGAAAACATTATTATCACACCAGAGCAACTTAGAGCCACCTCCTCAGCAGTGGGCTGGTGATGCGAGGGAGGCTATGCTTTGATGACATAATCATAAAATAGTACTATAATATAGTTTTCTTTGCATTATGAATGTGTGGATGAGCCAATTATTTTTAACATAGGCTTGTTGGTAAAATAAGACTGGAATTGGGCTTTCCCTCTATATCCAAACTACAGAATGGGACAACTCGCCACAGCCAACTCGTCATGGCCATCTCGCTGTGGTCAACTTGCCGCAGCCATCTCACTGCAGCCAACCCGGTGCGGCCATCTCACCTCTGCTATCTCACCGCAGCCAATTTGCCATGCTGCAACTCACCGCAGCCAACTTGCTTCAGGACAACTCGCCATAGGACAATCAACGTGGGATAACTCAATAAATATTATCCACCACTGTTTCTTCAACATTATTTCCATTGACAAAAATGGAAATAAAGTAGAAGAAAAAGTGGTGGATAACATTTATCACATTGTGTTATCCCATGTGGATTGTCCTGTGGCGAATCTTTCTGTGATGAGTTGGCCGTGGCAAGATGGCCACAGTGAGTTGGCTGCAGACAGTTGGCCTTCCAAACTATATTACCAGTGAGCAAAGAACTGCTACCATCTTGGTTCATCATAGCTCACCACCAAACGTATTTTGAACATAGTGCAAGTCTCCTTTCGTTTGGCCATCATGAGTGGGGTTATGGGAAATAATACAAATTCTTCCAAATACAATATTCTGCGGCTTAAACAGTATACGGTACCTTGGAATCACAGGAGAAGGCATACGCAGCTAGTGGGCGTTCTCTGCAATTGATGAAATGTATGGCCTCCTCTATATTATTCACAGTGAATATTGGCAAGATGGGCCCAAGAACCTCCTCTTGCATGATTGGCTCCCATTCTTTCACATCTGCCAGCACTGTTGGAGCTGTAATGGATAAAATATCACATCAAGACTTGTTCTATTTATATACCATACCTTTATTTGGAGAGCTTTAGCTTTCCCCAGGGTATCAGTTTCAATATGCAAACCCAGGAAAACATGACTGCCTTCTTGCTTTATCTAAAACAGACTTTCCCAGATCATAGAATCATAAGGGTGGAAGGGACCTTTGAGGTCTTCTAGTCCAACCCCTGTCCAAGGCAAGATCCTTATACTATCCTGTACAAATGAATGCACAATCTTTTCTTGAAAACCTCCAGTGATAAAGCATCCACATCCAGGAGGCAAGCTGTTCTATTAGTTAATTGGTCTCCCTTTAATACCGTATTTCCATACATAGATTTGTTTTTCCTAATCTCTCTCTTAGTTTGTTAGCTTTCTTGGACTTCAACTTTCAAAATCCCAAGCCTGTTTGGCCAATGACAATCCAACACATCTGGTAAGCATCAACTTGGGAGGTTGATCTAAACTATACCTACTAATCATGTATTCTTAATAAGCTTGATTAATTGATTAAATTGTACAAAAGCAGATACATCACTGGAAGCTAAAATCATAAGACTACCTCTGATTTATTTTGGCCATGTTATGCATGCAAATTCATTGGAGAAGACTAGGAATGGTTAGTGGACAAAAAAGGAGGAGGAAATGAAGAACACACTGGCTTGATAACATCAAATCTGATGCAAAGTTGAACATACTACAATTAGAAGCTATGCTTGACAGGGTAGCATGGAGAGCATTTGCCTATAAAGTTACCAAAAGTTGGACAAAACTAATTGTTAACTAACTAATTTAACTAATTGTTAAAAACAACAATTGATTTTGTACTATAAGTCATTTTTGATTCATAGCGAATACATCAATTTCTCTAAAAGCTTACTAGTTAGTGTTCATGAAATGTCTTTCTATCTTTCCCATATTTCAAATCTTTCCTTTTATTCTTCTTCCAGTACCAAGCTGTATACTCACCAATATAACGCTCACACTCATCGGTCTCTCCACCAATGACCACCCGGCCACATTCCAGCAAAGCTCGGACGCGCTGGAAATGCCTGTCATTGACCATGCGACCAAAATCAGATGACCCCTTGGGATCGTTTCCAAAGAATTCACGGATAGCTTGGCGCAAGCAAGGCATCAATTTTTCCTGTGTTTCAAGTGTACAGATCAAATAATCTGGTGCAATGCATGTCTGTCCAGCATTGACGAATTTTCCCCATACAATTCGGTTGGCTGCATTGGGGAAACAGCAGTTTTCATCCACATAACAGGGACTTTTACCCCCCAGCTCCAGAGTCAATGGTGTCAGATTTTTTGCTGCAGCAGTCATGATGATCTTTCCTACACGGACGCTTCCTATAAAGAAAGGGCAAAATTTGGGTCAAAAAAGATATACAGCATAACTCCCATCATCATTGGGAGCTCAGTTCTATGCACAAAAACAATCTGTGTTGCTTTTTTCTCTACTTCTTCCATACAGAGATCAGCAAAACTCCACACATGATATTTAAAAATCTCCATGAAATGTTAATAATAATCAGCAAGGCAACTCTCCTGAAGCAGTTTTATGTAATGCAAAAAGTATTTTCTGATTTACAAAGAATATTGAAAATACTTATATTTAAAACATGGTCAAAACATGACAGCCTATGATATCCTATAATGATAATGTTCTGAATAGGTGGAAAATTAGTCGTTTGCCAAAATTTAATAAACTGACTGTACAAGAATTTGTATTGCATGAACTTGAAATCTACACGTGTTCTTATCATCTCTTGGTAAAAAATAATTCAATACTGCATTAAAAAACTAATTGAAAGAAGTATCAAGGAGTAATTATGTAAATTTATAAAAGTGCTGGGATTATCTTCTAGATCAAATTATAGTTACCATCTAGGTATTTGTTTTCGGCATTGCAAATATTATTTCTGGTTTTGATTTTCTTTCAGAAGTTTTATGATTGTTAAAAAAGGGAAGAAAAAACAATGTTGTAAATAATCAAAAATGTATAAATGTTAATTTTATTTATCTTTGTCAAAAACAGATTGTTTTTCATCTTATCACATCATCAGATCTGTTGTTGTTCGTCCATCGATTTCGATGAAGACCTTGACATCTTGTGGATTGTGGGCCATCAACGGTGTGTCCGTAGATGGCTGATTAGACCGATGTTAGCACGGAATGTTCTGCCACATACTGAGCAGAGAAATGTGGACACTGTTGCTTCAGCATTTGCAGCTCTGGCTTTACGGAGTGCTCGCTTCTCTTGCGCCAAGATTGTCCTCCTGTGTTCATATGTCTGGCACCCCTGGTAAACCAGGGTACGCCATGTCGGTCGATCATGCGACAAGAGTTCCCAAGAGATGGGACTTGAGAGATGCTTTCAGCGTGTCTTTGTATCACTTCTTTTGTCCCCCGTGCGATCGCTTTCCTTGAGACAGCTCACCATAGAAGAGCTGTTTAGGGATGCGATGGTCTCGCATCCTTACAATGTGGCCTGCCCAGCGCATCTGGGCTTTCATCAACAGAGTGTAAACTGATGATAGGCCTGCTCTGGAGAGGACCTCTGTATCTGGTATCTTATCCTGCCACCGGATCCTCAGAATTCTACGAAGGCAAGTCATGTGGAAGTAATTCAGTTGCCTAACGTGCCTCCTGTACACTGTCCAGGTCTCACT